TTTAATTTAGGCTATCATCAAAAGACTCCTATCGAGTTTCCACCTTATGACCTCTACAGTTCTTTTAACACTTAACAGCTGGAGTTCCTCCTAAAACTCATTTTATCTATGCATGACCTGTCCCGGCTTAAAACCTATCTATGACTCCACCCAAATTCCTCCCGACAAAGCCTAAATTGTTTAACATAACACAGATCATTAGGCCCCATTTTAGCTTTCGGATCAGGAGAGGACATACTACCAGCCAGCCAAATCCAGCCCACTACCCGTTTTTGTAGTTTGCAGTGCAAAGCCTTTACATTTTTAAATGGTGGGAAAATCAAAATATGATGGGGCAGCTGGGTGGTTCAGTTGGTTAAGCCTCTGATTCTCGGTTTTGGCTCAGGTCATGATTTCAGTTTCTTGAGGTTCAAGCCCAGTGATGGGCTCTGCCCTGGAGCATGGAGCCTGCTTGGTATTATCTCTGCCCCTCCCCTACTCATGTTATCTCTGTCTCACTCAAAATAAATAAAACTTTAAAATATATACATATATAAAAGAAAAATCAAAATATGACTATTACTTGGTAGTGAAAACTACATAAAATTCAAACTTCAGCATCCTTAAAAAAAAAAAAAAAGACAAAACTTTACTGGAACACAGCTCCACCCATCCGTACTGTCTATGGCTTCTTTTGAGCTACAAGTTGAGTAGGTGTGACCAAGATAATATGGCCCACAAACCCTAAAATCTTTACTGTCTGGCCCTTAAAGTTTGCCAACCCCTGCTCTACACTCATCTCTCACCACTCCCGTCTGCAGCCGCCACCCTGAACTGTCTGCAGTCCCTAACGGACCACCATTTTCCCTCTGACTGCTTGCTCCTCCACCCATGGGTGCTCACATACAACTAACTTCATATCAGTATTTAACAGTTTTTCTGATTGTCCCTCTACTTGTCTGGCGCATATGTTCATCACTGAATCCTCAGCACCAACACGATCTCTACCCTCCTTCAGTGCTTGATAAATGCGTGTTGACCGAATGAGCAGCACCCTGAAGAGATGAACAGAACTGGTTCCAACTTTCAGGAGCTTACAAACGCAAGGCAGACACATAAACAGCATATTAATCCACAAAGAAGAATGAAAAACACTAAAAAGTAGCAAGTACTCCGCAGCATAACCAAAGAGAAATAATTCCACCTGAGGAAGAGTGCCCCTTAAGAATGCCTTCTGATTTGAAGATAAGCCCCTCCCTCCATGATGGAATTCTTACTGAGCTTTCTTTTGTTGGCCTGGAGTGTCACCTGTAAAATAAGGCTAAATAATCCCGACTTCACAGGATTAAATGAATGTGGTTAATTATTGAGAGCAAGTAGCTCAGCGCTTGCTTCAGAGAAAGTGCTCAGTAAACAGCGGTCAGTTCTCGTTGCTCTAAAACGCTCCGTTTGACGTTAATGGTGTCCGTATCCAAGGGAGTCTCCAGTGTGTGTCGCCAAACGCAGGGACCAGCATCAAACACATCCCTACAGTAAGAAGAGCAACCTCCAAGCAAAGCGCCGCCGGAGGCGTACCAGGGTAAGCTGGGAGCCGGGCTGAAACTCCGGGGAAACCGCCCGGAAACGGACCCCGCGAGGTAGAACTACAACTCCCGTCGTGCCTCACCGAGTTTAGGGCTACTCTACATTTTACCACCTCCAGCCACTTCTCTTCTTTCCCTCTGTAGTCCCGAGGGTGGCTGCGTCCTGGTCACCGGAAGAAGCCGTGTGACGTCACGAGGGCCTGCGCGTCGCGCGGGTTGCAGGAGTTGACGGACGGTCTCTGGGTGCGTTTGGGTGCCCGGGGGACCACGGAAGAGGCTTCCCTCGGCGGCCGCGATGCCTAGCTCGCGGCGGGTCAGTCAGCTCCTGGATCTGTGAGTCCACCTGGTCCCCGCCTCCCCGACGCCCCGCCCTGTGCTCGCTCTCCCTCCCCGCCCCCTTTCTACCTCTGGACCTCCGAAGAGGGCCCGCCGGTGTGTCTATTCCTGGGTCGCTGATATGTCGTCTCCTTGTAGATGACAGTTGTGCCAGGTGTGCTGCTGGACAGGCTTGACCCTCTGTTCTCCGCCCTGGGGGCCGCCCGATGGGTGTCCGAACTCTGTCAGCCTTGACAGCTCGATGCCCTGGTAGTTTCTGGCAGTGGCCTGTTTCTGAGGAGAGCTTGATAGAACAGCAACAACAAAAACACCACATGTGGCCTTCAGCAGAGTTCCACCATTCCTGTAACTGGGATAGATATTGATTCTTTGAGGCAGCTCCTCGATTGCTTGACTGGGATTGCTGGGTTCAGCTCCCAGTCGGCCATTCACCAGCTGTGTGACCACGGAGAATAACTTAAGTTTCACCTCTGTGCCTGAGTTCCTGATCTATCCAAGTAGTGTGACAACAGTATGGATCTCATAGAATTGTAGTGAGGAATACATTTAACGCGTGTCCTTTGAAGGATGCCTAGTGTCAAAAGAAATTTCAAAGAACTTTACTTAAAAATATTTTAATGAAGGAGAAACAATCTCAGAGGCATGCCATTGCAGGATGGCTTATACACTGAGAATGACTGTGTTGTTTATCCTTTACAGTGATTGGTTATTACAATGATTGATTACTACAATTTCAAAAACCTCAAGGGGTTGGTTTAAAGTGATTGTCATATACTATTTTAGAGAGATGATTTAAGCTTTGTTTATGATTGTCAGAGGGATTTACAAGAAATATACTGTTAAATTTCACTTTGTTCATGAAATAAGCCAGATTAAGTTTCACTTATGTGAAACTGATTTGGTCTGCTTAGGGGATTTTCAAGCATGGTCTGCATTTTGTTTTATTTTAAAAATTCCCCCTTTGGGTCATTCCCTCAGAAAGGTGAAAGTGTGAGCCAATATATAGTTACTCTCCCCTTGATGTAGTCATTGGGCTGTACGGTCATGTAGTTGCCATTACCAACAATTGCATAGTCATTGAAGACATGGACAGTGGGACAACTGAGTTCCTTGAGTTGTGTAATCCTGACAGATATCGTTTGACGTATGAGTGACTGCTGAAAGGCATTTACAACTCTTGAGAGGATATAGTGCACTAGTGTTAAAAGGTGGGGGAGGGACAGTAAAGTATCCTCCAGACCTAGTAGGCACTTTGAAGCAGAAAAACAAAGCAAGCCGCTCCATACTGTTTACACAGACTTGTATTCAGGGTGACCTACTGACAAGGGGGAGCCAGTGGATAGATGATCCTGTGGTAGGACCCCTTCCTAAGGAATGTGGTGAAAACCTCAAGACAAGGGAAGGCAACCTGGCTATGTGCTCCAATGTGACATTCCGGACGATTCTGTAACATAGACTGCCCAATCAGACTGTATGTCTATATGTCATCATTTATGGGAGACAAAGAAGTAGAAATTGCATAAAAGGCTACAACCCCCTGCGCTCAGGGCTCAGTTTTTAAGGCATAAACCCATTGAGCCTGTGGCCACATGATGAATAAAGTTGCTTCCTGGAAAGAAAAGCCTAGGTGCCATGACTGTGCGAACCTCAGTCCCCTTACAATCCAGGTGCGATGGAGCTATTCTCCACCCAGTCCAAACCGTGACCTACTGCTTTTATAGAGCAAAGGGCATTATGGTGCAGAGGATCATTATCTAAAGTGGCACCATCTATGCGAGGTCATCTCTCCTACTTAAAGTGGAGCCTTTCATCTCTACTAGTGCACCAATCATCTCTACTAGTTATCTAAAGTGGTACCTTCTGTGCAGCACTTTAGGGAAAATTGGAGCAAGCCTTTCTGCATTCCAGTCAGGGCACACGTTAACCTCCAAGGGGCCTGGAACCTATAGCCCCAAGGGAGGTCATTGCATGAGCAGAAACAAGATGGAGGACCAAAGATGGAGTCAGTGCTGTCAGCACTCCTACAACTAGGGATATTAATATATGATGATTTTGAGACAAAAATCGAAAAATTCTGGGAGCAGATTCCCAGGAGCCAAGATTTAACCAACTAAATAAATCAGTGGAAGAAGGCTCCATCTATCTGATGGAAGACTGACATCTGATCTTTAAGATCTTTTAAATTGGGTGTAATAATTCCTGATCTATTAACATGGAAACATGGGGCACCTGGATAGCTCAATCAGTTACGTGTCCGACTCTTTTTCAAATGTTTACTTTTGAGAGACAGAACACTAGCAGACAGAGCAGGGGAAGAGCAGAGAGAGGGAGAACAGAATCTGAAGCAGGCTCTAGGCTCTGAGCTGTCAGCACAGAACCTGATGCAGGGCTTGAACCCACGAACTATGAGATCATGACCTGAGCCTAAGGTGGCTGCTTAACCGACTGAGCCATTCAGGTGCTCCAAGTGTCCAACTCTTGTTCTCAACTCAGGTCTTGATCTTGTGAGGTTGTGAGTTGGAGCCCTGTGTTGGGCTCCGCATCAGGTGCAAAGCCTACTTTAAAAAAAAATTTAAAAACAACAACAACCATGGAACCTTTTTTTCTTTTTAACCAGTTATAACATATGCATCTCCTTGTTCAGTGGTTAGGGTGTCTGAGACTGTGCAAGAGTTTAGATTCTTACTGTAATTGTAGGGATTTTGCAGAAGGTAAGATGTCACCTGAAGAGATTTAAATGTAGTCTTTTGTGGGTGTCCTTTCCAATAAACTAAGTCTCTAGGAATGTTTTCTTTTGGAATGGATCACATTTTAAAATCTAGTCGAAAATATGTTTCCTAATACCACATTAGTGCCTTACCCTATTAAACCATGTAATGATTACTGAGGATAAACATGAGGATGTTTTATTTCAAGAGTGTTGTAGGTGCTTTTCTATCTAAGTTGGGCCTCTCTATGATGTGAGTAATTAGTCATTTCTATGGAAACGAAAGATAAAAGTTAACACCTGGAGCAAATTCCAAATTGTTTCTGAATCTGAATAGCAAGCAGTCAAAAAAATTTCTAGATTTGAGCTCAAAACATCTTTGTTTTATTTTTCTTTTTTTCAAAACATCTTTAGATGATGGAGTGAGGAGGCAGTTTCAATCTGTTGGATTTTCCTTGTTTGTAGTTTGAATGATTTTGATGACATCATTGAATATTCTGGTGAACTCTGAGTGGCCTGAAACAGAAGTAGGCACGAAGGTTGTCTGTACATGATTTGTTGTGGTGATTTCTTTGAATCTTCTATCAAGTTGTCTGGCTTTAGGTTGTAGAAATTGAGGAAAAGGGCAATTTTAGTTTTTATTCCAAGTCTGAAGCGTAAGAGAAAATTGGAAGTGTTAGGTTGGAAAGTTGTAGCCAGATATTGGAGGGAACTAGAAGAATTCAGGATCCAGTCCAGTTTACAGAAAGATAAAAAAACCTCAAAGATAATGAACAGGACTAGAATCTGATAACAGGTACACTATAGTGTTCTACTGAAACATAATTTTTCTCTCTATAGTCACTTCATTTTTACCAAAGATAATCACAGTAAGACTAACTTATTTGTAAAATGAATCTGGTCCCATCAAATTCAGCTTGTTATTTACATAACAGTGCAGCAGAATAGTTATTTTATGTACATTTTAAAAAATGGTATTCAAGTCCAAGCTTTGGTAATCCAACGGTCTTTGTTGGCTCCACAGATCCAACGTTAGTTTCTTAAAAAATGCCTGGTGGTAGGAAATCTCAGATTGGATATTTAAACACCCTTTTAGGCCAAGAAGTCAAGCCAATGAGTTGTCCAATTGTGTTCTGTTACAAAGAAACAAATTCTGATGGAATTTATGCAAATACCTACACTGCCATGAAAATAAGAATACTTAATAAGAGGGCTGTTTTGTTTTGTTTTTAATTTTGGAGGGATCAGGTAGAGAGAACAAGGTAAATGTTTAATATTTGTTTTTGTTTTGTTTTGTTTTAAATGTTTAATTTTTATTCACAAAAGTTTACCACATTGTTATGTTATATAGTAGTATTTTATTTTATTTTATTTTATTTTATTTTATTTTATTTTAAGAGAGAGACAGGGAAGAGAGGTAGAAGAGAGAGAATCTTAGTTAAGTTCCACACTCAGCGCAGAGCCTGACACAGGGCTCCATCCCAAGACCCTGGGATCATGACCTGAGCCAAAATCAGGAGTCAGATGCTTAGCCGACTGAGCCACCCAGGCACCCCAGTTATATAGTAGTTTAAAAGAAAAGAGAAAGGGGTTCTTCAAATTTGGAAAGCAAAACAGTAAAGAATGAGCAATGCTTCAAACAATGTGATAAAAATTATAATCATCTCCATTAGTTGGTTTTGTCCCATATAATCAATTCTACTTTTCTTGCCCTTGGGTTAGCAGTTTTATGAATCAATCAGTTTCTACATTAGCATGCTAGAAATTCTTACCCAGTTAAGTGGTATGATCTTCAAGTTATCAGAAACTTGTACTCTAGAGTATTTGTCAGGGTCTTTTCCATGAATCTCCTTGAAGACAAAGCATTTTAGCCTGTAGGTAGTTGTAAATGCTCTCATAGATGATTCACTGTATATTAATAGCTGTTTGTAAATGACAAGAGACAAAAAGAGCCATTGTTACAGTTCACTATGAAAAAATGATGTGATTGACAGGTAAGTTTGGCTATTTTGGGGGTATATGACATTTAAAAATAATTAGACTACGATGACATTGCATATCAGATTCCTAGGAATTCCATGCAATTTCTGGAATACTTATATTAATAACATGTATCCATACAAATACAACCTAAGAAGGTTAAGCATCACTTTTACTTGATAATGTTTTCAATGTAATCTCACATTTAAAAAGTCTATAGTTTAATGTCTCCCTTTTTGTAAGAAGAGAAAAAAGCTTTGAGATTTTTCAGGAACCTTGAAAGTTAGTTCAAAGTCAAAAAGACTGCATTTAGAATTTGATTTTGTGAAGTTTGTAAAAAATGTCGAAAGCTTTAAAACACTTGATTAAACAGGATCACTAGTCATTGTGAAATAATACTTAGTCATCTATTTAACCAAAGAGACAAAAAAGATTTCAAAAGCAAATATAGAAAGTACATAGTTATAAAAAAAAAAAAAACCTTACCTCTTTTATATATTGAAAAGATTAAGCAGTCAAAAACCTGATAAAGACAAAGTGAAACACAGGAAATGATTTTCATAAGGTACAGAATCTTTGTTTCCTAGACAAAATACACAAAGGTAAAGAAAAACCTTTCATAATCCCTTATTAAGAGTGACTAACATAGGGCGCCTGGGTGGCTTAGTCGGTTGAGCATCCGACTTTCGCTTAGGTCATGATCTCGCAGTTCATGGGTTCCAGCCCCCCGTCTGGCTCTGCTGACTGCCAGCTCAGAGCCTGGAGCCTATTTCAGAGTCTGTGTCTCCCTCTCTCTCTGACCCTCCCCTGCTCATGCTGTCTCTCTCTCTCTCTCTCTTAGAAATAAATAAAAATATTAAAAAAAAAAAAAAGAGTGACTAACAACCTAAGAAACTTTGTTCTTTTAACAGAGAAAATTAAACTGTGGTTTTGTGTCAGTATATTATTCAGCTCAGTTTTGGAAATCTTTATAAATAAATCCATTGAATTTTAGCTAATTTTGACCATGCAACATGAAATTTCTTCACAATTTTTCTGTAACTTTCTGTATCCATTTAGATTTTTGTTTTATTCCTTTTTCTTTTTCATTTTACTTTAAGACAAAATTACTGTTTTCCCTTAATAAAAACACATCCTATATTTTTTGCTTACTCTTCATATAAAAAACACATCCCATTCTCCTCTCATACTTTATATACAAAGATGTTTTCTTTCATTCTTGTTTTTAGGTGGCTTATTTTTATATATCAATTATAAGCTTTAACCATTATAATCTTTTTTTAACCATTATTAACCTTTATTTTCCAGTGAAAACTAGTAAACAAGCAGTTGGGAACTGTCTGGCATATATCAGCATCCTATAGTAGATTAGCAAATTTATGAATATTTAATAATAAAAAATATACTTTTTAGAGATGTGCTTCTTTATAGTACATTTTTTTAATGTGGGAAAGGCCACATTAAAATAGATCCAAATATCTTTTGTCTTTGTAAAAAATAAGCAGTCAAAAGTAAATAAACTTAAACATATGTTTAGCAGTTAATGTTTCAGTAACATTAGCTTATTATTGGAAATGACCTACATATTTAACAAATACCCATCATCTAATTTAATCTATTTAACTCATTTTTAATAATTATACTTGTATTAAACTTTAAACACCTAACTAGCATCTTAACAATTTTAACCTTTTTTAAAGTTTATTTATTTATTTTGAGAGAGAGAGAGAGAAAGACAGAGAGAGTGAGCAGGGAAGGGACAGAAGGAGAGAGAAAGAAAGAGAATCCAAAGCAGGCTCCTCACAGTCAGCCCAGAGCCCAACACAGGACTTGAACCCACAAACCATGAGATCATGACCTGAGCCAAAATCAAGAGTCAGAACCTTAACCGACTGAGCCATCCATACCCCTAAACTATTTCTGAAGCTTCTATAATTCAAGATTATCCAGATCATATGAACTTGAAAAGCATTTCAGTTAGTTTATATTTCTGAGAGTTTTAAGAATCCTTAACTCATATAAGTACTTATTTTTCCTTAAGCCAATTAAATAGAGCTCTTTTTGAAAATTACATATACATAACATACATACATATACATTAATATAAGGACAGTTGTAAACAGAGATCTGTAGCTTTCATTTAAAAATTTCAGCTGTGTGTCAGGTATAACAATACAAAACTCAAAGGAATAGCTGAACCCAAATTGTTTTTCTGGCTGATGGGATAAATTAAGATTATTTGCTGAAATGACTTGAGCTTTTACCACAAATTTTTCATTTGCTGTAAGAATTCTTTAGAGAAGCTATTTTTGGAGTCATTTTGTCTTTTAGAAGCTTTGGCATACCAGCCAATGAATGCATTTATTGCCTTTAAGAAATTTGGGATCCTCTTTTTTTAAAGGTGCCCCCATGTTGGGCTATTTTATCTTAGTTAAAGATTTTCCCAAAGTGGTCACTGCAGTTCCATTGATTCTTTGTAATATTTACCCATTTCTCTAAAAAGGTATAAGATCATTGGGGCACCTGGGTGGCTCAGTTGGTTGAGCATCTGACTTCGGCTCAGATCATGATCTCATGGTTCATGGGTTCAAGCCCCGCATCAGGTTCTGTGCTGACAGCTAGCTCAGATCCTGGAACCTGTTTCAGATTCTGTCTCCCTCTCTCTCTGACCCTCCCCTGCTCACACTATCTCTCTCTCAGAAATAAATAAAAACATTTTTTTAAAAATTTAAAAAATAATAAAGTAAAATAAATAAAAAGGTATAAGATCCTGGTCTGAGCTTTGGACCAGATGGAATCCATCTTTGCCTTAGAATCCCTAAGAAAACTTAATTAGCATGGGTTTGACAGTTATTCCAAAATAGAAGGAATCACACATTCCTCCCTCTTTTGAACAGAATAGCATGACTTACTGAAAAGTTTCAACAAGCATTGCTCAGTAAAATCAGATAAATCAACACAAAAGGAGTGGAGTTTAGATATAAGGAAGATTTTCCCTGGAATTCCATGGTTGGTAGTGCGCAGTGGTCTCCATGGGTTTTGGCACCTAGTTACTCACTGGCCTTGGAGCTCATCAAGGGTCATCCCTGGATCCCACTTTTGACACCAAAAACTTTCAAAAGAAAATTCAGAAATGTTTAGTTGATATAAATGTTTTACTGAGTGAGAAACAAACTGTTAGTGTACAGGGAGACTTCAAACCAAAAAAGGTTAGACTCTCAAGGCATGTGATCATAGGAGAGCTCATAAAGTGAGAATGAGGAAGTTGTTTAATCTTTACAATGATTGGTTATTACAAGGAGAGTTTACACAGTATGGAAGTTTCTCAAAAAAATAAAAATAGGATTACGGGATGATCCAATAATTTCACTACTGGGTATTTATGCAAGGAATACAAAAACACTAATTCAAAAAGATATATACAGCCTTCTGTTTATTGCAACACTATTTACAATAGCCAAATTATGGAAGCAAACCAAGTGTCTATTGAGAGGTGAATAAATAAAGAAGATGTGACACACACATACACACACACACACACACACACACACACACACACAGGAATATTATTCAGCCGTGAAAAAAAGAATGAAATCTTGCCATGTGCAACAAGATGAAGCCAAAAAATATAATGCTATGTGAAAGAAGTCAGAGAAAGAGAAATACCCTATCATTTCACTCATATGTAATTTAATGAGCAAAACGAACAAGCAAAGTAAAAGAGAGAGGGAGAGAGACAAACAATGAATCAGACTCTTAACAGACTCTTAACAAGTTTGTATACAGAACAAACTGACATTTATCAGAGGGGAGGTGGGTGGAGGGATGGATGAAATAGGTAATGGGGATTAAAGAGTGAACTTATGATAGCACTGAGCAATGTATAGAATTATTGAATCATTATATTGTATACTTGAAACTGATATTACACTATATGTTATGTATACTGGAATTTTAAAAAAAATTTTTTTTAAATGGGAGTTTACAGGGGCGCCTGGGTGGTTCAGTTGGTTAAGTGTCCGACTTCGGCTCAGGTCATGATCTCATGGTTTTTGGGTTCGAGCCCCACTTGGGCTCTGTGCTGACAGCTAGCTCAAAGCCTGGAGCCTGTTTCAGATTCTGTGCCTCCCTCTCTCTCTGACCCTCCCCTGCTCACGCTGTCTCACTCTCAGAAATAAATAAAACATTAAAAAAAATTTTTTTAAATGGGAATTTACATATATCAGGGGATTGGTTAAAAGTGATCCTTTATACTATTTTAGAAAGGTGATGTAAGTTTTATTTATGATTATCAGAGACAGTTACAAGAAATAACCTAGGTTAAGTTTCTCTTAAATTAATGATGTAAGGGGGTGCCTGGGTGGCTCAGTCGGCTAAGCGGCCGACTTCAGCTTAAGGCATGATCTCATGGTTCATGGGTTCGAGCCCCGCATCAGGCTCTGTGCTGACAGCTAGCTCAGAGCCTGGAGCCTGCTTCAGATTCTGTCTCCCTCTCTTTCTGCCCCTCTCCTGCTCACACTCTGTGTATCTCTCTCTCAAAAATAAACGCTAAAAATTTTTAAACAATAATAATGATGTAAGCTAGATTAAGTTTCACTTACATGACCTGACTGGTTTTATCTGCTTGAGGAATTTTTAAGCCTGGTGTCCATGTTATTTTAAAACTAGTAAGTAATAAACATCACTAAGTGTTATTTATTGTTATTAATTATTTCACTGGGATAGATGCTGAAACTTGTAGTTACAATAGCAATTACTTCTCTCTGGGAGCTTCAGTACGTTAATATTGCATAAAAAAATATTGCCATGCAAAACTTGAGGCTGAGGAGAACAATTATCTGCTGAATGCTTTTGAAATCCATGCTTTTGAAGTGACATTTACATTATATCTCATAAACTTCTGGCCCTCAGTCCACAGTCACTTTTTAGTTTTTGGGTTTTTTTTTAAATTTTTTAGAAGTTTAGTTTTGAGAGAGACAGAGTACGAGAGGGGAAGGGGCAAAGAGAGAAGGAGACACACAATTTAGAGCAGGCTCCAGGCTCTGAGCTGTCAGCACAGAGCCTGACTTGGGGCCCAAACTCACAAAATCATGATCTCAGCTGAAATTGGATGCTTAACCAACTAAACCACACAGGTGCTCCTCATGGTCACTTTGTGTAAAAGAGAACTCTGTTGATTCCCTTTTGTGTAACTCAGGTTGTATAGAGTCCTGTGAAAAGTATTTTGCTTTCATTCTTGGCTTTAACTTTACACCTGATCCAAATAAGAGTTTCTCTCTGTCAGTAAAGACAGAGAAATAGTTAAGAGTGCAAGTTAGAAAGACAGATGAAAGCCTAGCTATCCTCCTGTCTTTTAATTCCTGCCTTTATATTGAAGGTTTGCTGAGGCATCCATATAAATGATCCTCTGAACTTCTGTGGCCAGAATCAAGTCTTTTATCTCTTCATAGCCACAGTTTCTTATTTTTAGGAGCTGCTCAATATTCAGTAAGCATATATTTGGCATATGACACATTATGCTGATGGTTTTGACAAATATCTAGCATAAAGAAGGTACAGTTTTATGGGACTAGCATATGCAAGTATATAAATAACTATAATATAGGTAGAATAATAGCACAGAAGGGAGATTAACGAAGTATTTTGTAATTTCTGATGAGGAAAAGAATATACAAGACTAGGAGAAGTCTTTGTAAAGAGGGTTGTATTTGAAGGTTGGTAGCATCTGACATTTGCAAATGGGAGGAAAAGCATCTAAGAAGGAGAGGAATGATAAGGGCAAAGCCTTGACAAGCAGGAGTTAGAAATACATGAGAAGATCAGAAAGTAGTATTTCAATTTGGCCAGAGAATACAATGTGGATAGCAGAGTAGGGAAACATAAAGCCAATAATTAGGAGTAGAACTTTGGGGACCGGAATGATATAAGACTGCTTAATTTTGTAGCAGTAGGGGTCTATAAAAGGTTTTGGAACTGCACTGGGTGTAAAGAGAGATTTGCATTAGGGACAAGTTGGGAATAAAGAGACAATTAGGAAACTGTTGCAAACTCTTGGAAAGAGGTAAGGAGTGCCCAAACTAGGACACATGTATGAAGATGGTCATTGCAGAATTCCACGGTGGAGAATTTGAATGTCTATCAGTGGGAGAGGTGCCATCAAGTATTATGCAGCTGTTAGGAAAGTGAAGAGTAGATGAATATATACTCAAATCGATGGAACTTACAACGTAGTGCTTAGTGAGAAAAGAGGAAAAAGAATAAAACATGTTAAGAAAAATTATCTAGGGGCCCCTGGGTGGCTCAGTCAGTTGAGTGTCAGACTTCGGCTCAGGCCATGATCTCACCATTTGTGAGTTCGAGCCCCACATCAGGCTCTCTGCTGTCCGCACAGAGCCTGCTTCACATCCTCTGTCCCCACCTCTCTCTGCCCCTCCCCCACTTGCTCTCTTTTTCTCTCCAGATATAAAAGAAAAGAAAAATCATCTAGAACTTGAAAGTAAACCAAAAAGATGACCACATGACCTTCATTGTCATACTAGGGTGTGGTCCCCCGTGTAAGGGTCCATATATGCCTTGAGAATCCTATTTGCTAATCCTTTTGGGACAAGGTATGTTCAGGCTGGCAGTTGGTCAGCAGTAAGCTATTTCTGGGTTGTAACAAGGTAAGGAGCTTGATCCAGAATAGCAATCAACGTTTTTACTGAGTGCACTGTTTGTCCACAGGATCGGACTTCACCATGAAGGAAACTGCTTGGTGACATCCTTGCATGAGCTCCTAATCTCACTGACTAGCACTATGAACAGCACTGCCTTAGAGAATCCTTTGGGTCTGGGATGTGTTGAATAGTTTTGGATAGAAGGACCTAGGAAAGAGAAAAAGCAAAAATTACTCTAAAGTTTTCAGCTTTGTTGACCAGGAGAATGGTGATATCTTTACATAATAGTGGAGAAGTAGGTATCTTATGGGGAATACATGGCACAGGCTGCACAGCTGAGCTCAGGGACCCTCAAGGGCTGAGATGAAAAAGACTGAGGAAGAGACATGGGGAGAAAAAAGGAAACACTTAATATATATATAGCTGAAATCTGCATAAAGGAAAATACAAGGGGAGTGACTATCAGGGTAGAATTTGATTTTACCTGTCTTACATATAAACAAATACATTTTTAGTCTGGTCTTGTTTCATGGACACAAGTGAACAAAGGCTCCTGGGTCAAAGACACAAAGGACTTTATTATTCATTGCACAGCAAACAGCTCGAGCATGCATTCGCATGTTTATGTCACTTCCTCTTGACTTCCAAGATGCTCATGGGCAACACAAAAGACTCAGATGGATGCCAACACAAACAATGGGTTGCATTCCAGGAAGGCAACACAGCCCAAACGAATGTCTACTCAAGCAATGAGTTGCATTACAGGAAAGAAACACTGAATTTGGGGACTCTGCCGATGTATAGTAAGCAGTAAGCAACTTCTTTGTCCTGGAGGGAGACATTACTTTATGACACAGGGCTGCTCATTATAAACACAACCCTGTGAATGGCCCAGATAAAGCATATCAGGGCTGTGTATTCTTGTCATTCCCAGCAAGACAGGTAAGATGATGAAAAACCCGTAAAGGACTGCCTTTCGTAACATTCCACTTTTTGGTCCTACCGTCTTGGCCTCTGACAAGTTATCACATGACTAAGACACTTTTTCAGCCACAGTGATTATTGATCAGCAGAGGCTAAGACCAAATGCATTCAATTTATATCATACACCATTTAACAGAGGCTATTAATAGAACTCCAAGAAGCAAGGTGAGGTTAACCTGCAATATTGACCTTTGCTGTGCCCTCAGGAGCCCAGATTCATCTGTGAGTAAATCCTAAGGGAAACCAGTAGGTCTTAGACAGCCAAGATGTAGTGTAAGCCCGGGATAGTATCCATTATGAACTGCACAAGGAAATTGAAGCTTACCTGTTAATAGTTAGTGATATTGTCAGTAATTACAGGGATAGTAGATGGGCCAAAAAGAAACCCTCAACCTAACTGAGAGATATTCCATGGCCTATTCTTCTATACATATAACTATATAAACCAAAGAGACACAGGCCACTCTAGTCTGGATTTACTGTTAAACTTGATTTAGATCACTATGACATTGTTTTGCTTCTGCCATATGGGCAGTGTCACTGACACTTGTAATACACAGAAGTTCAAGGCCATTCATATACATGCACATTTTTCTGTTATAGCACATGGACTGGGATAAGAAACCCAGCATCAGGTCAGATTGACAGCTAGCTACAGCTGCTGCTTGCCTCAGGTAGATCATAAAATATCTTTGGCTGGAGGTGAAGGAAGCAACAATGTTTTAAAAAATGGTATTTTGGATGAGAGCACAGATTGCTGTAAATGTGGAGAGCATTTGCTACCAGATTTCAAGGAATCTCCTCATACCCCCGGACCTGGTCCACAGAACCTTTCTTCTTCCTCTTCCATAATACTAGGTTTCCCATCAGGATCCAATTCTCATCACAATATTGTTAGATCTAGGATATGATTTTACTTGATTAGACTCTTACTGTTTCATGGATACTGGCAGAAGATAGAGGATTTCTGGGCTGGAGACAAAGACTTTGTTACAGCACAGTGAGCAGCACACGCAGTTTGCCTCTTTTGCCCTTCTCCCCCAAATCCCATGAGGGTGACACAGAGGGCTTAGATGGATACCTGCATAGAGGGGATATTACAGGCGGGAAAAAAAACACAAAACACTGAGCTTGTGTGATACAATTTTATAACAAGCAATAAGCAAACTTGTCCTTTGTCTTGGTGGGAGATGATACCTCATCTCTCAGGATTGTTTGCTGCAAACACAACCCACCTGAGAAATGGTTCAAATAAAGAGCAATTGGGACTTTACATTCATACATACCTATGGAAGTATGAAAAACTTAACAGTGACCACAAGCCAGAGGTAGGGAAACTATCTCACCTCAATTTTTAACACAATTTAGCAAATTTATGTATTTTTAAAAACACATGAGTCTGTCTCTCTCTTTCCCTCTCTCTCTCCCTCTCTCTCTCTCACACACACACACACACACACACACACACACACGCATTTCTTTCCAAGAATTGTAGAATCAATGGAGATAGAAAGACCTTTTACTGAGTAAGCAAACTTAAAGTGAACAGTTTATTTTAAAAGCACCCAAGTACATATTTGAAAGAAAAGGAATCACCGTATTTCTTATTAATGGGATACAGGTATTTGTTAAATGGATGTGAACATTGGATGATATTTGGAAGACTTACAAAAAGGCAGCATGAGAAGCTCTAAGAATAAGCTCCCCAGTAAAATAAGCATAAAAGTTGAAAATAATAAAACACTGCCTAAGGTCTCTAGAAATCCTCCTAAGGGCATACAGCAAATGAAGAAACATTCATTCAAGATAATCTTTTAAAACCCGGTAAGAATAAGAGTCTAGCATTTGAACTGTACCTCCACTCCAGGTGGGTATGGCCAAGGTGTTGAGGCTACCTCTCTCCCCAGCTCCTACTCAAAGCCTTCAGTATTTTCCTGGGAAGGTCAGGATGCCAGCATTTCTCATCACACTCCTCCCCAGATACTTGTGCACAGGCTAAATTATGGGTGAATATGGTCTGTGGTTGGAGGATTGCTACCTCCACCCAGCCCCCACTTATCAGACATCTCATTCATGGGTGGCAACTACCCAGCACCCGCTCTGAAAGTAGGGGTTTCACTCAGAGAGAAGCACATCATCAACCTTGTTCCCAGTTCTGAAATTGCAGTTTAGAGATTTTTTTCCAGGAAGAAAGACAGGCTGCAAAACACACAACTCCAAGCTCTCAAGAAAATGACTTTATTTGAAACAGAGTGTGGGGGAAGTTCAAATAAAAGTAAGTAGTACAAAGACTCTGACAGCTTCATGTGAGATGCAAGCTAAACCATAGGCCAGGAAGTTTACCAGAGATGCAAGTTAAACCATAGGCCAGGAAGTTTACCAGAGAGAACCAGGGAAAGGAACATCTAAGAAGAGCATGCCTGGTGTCAGAACAAGCCTTAAATACTGACCTCTGAAACTAATCCTACAAAGAAGTCCAAAATGAATTGGATGACATTATGGAGCAATTTTTACCCCATGCATTGTTGAATACATTAGAGCAATCGATCTGTAATGAGTGAAGGCTGACAGCTAGGTGTGATACCAATACAGACTTAACAGAATAATCAGAGAAAGGAACAGTCAAGAGAGCCCTGCTACAATCACTGACATCCCAGCGCAACAATGCTTATGTCCAAGCTGTGCCCACTAAGAAGCAAATCAGAAGTTGCATAGGGTGAGGGAAATAGACTTAGTCAAGCCATGTCACTAAACAAACAGGTAAATAATTACAAATCTGTGGCATCAATATTTAGAGTTACTGTATTATATTATCTAGACTATGCTATTTTCAAAAAAAAATTACAAGACAAACAGAAACTGTGACCCATACACAGAGAAAAAATTGGCAACAGAAACTGTCTTAGAGAGGACCCAGATGTTGGATTTAGTGAAGGCTTCCGAGAAAGTATTATAAATGTGTTCAAAAAACTAAGGGAAGTCCTATTAAGAAGTAAAGGAGAAAACTGCTTGGCAGTTCCTCAAGAAGTTAAACATAGAATTACCATATTACCCAACTTCCACTCCAACTTCCACTCCTAGGTATATACCTAATAGAACTGAAACTAGGTACTCAAACAAATACTTGTACACATATGTTCATAGTAACAGTATTCACAAAGCTAAAAAGTGGAAACGACTAAATAAATGTCCATCACCAATAAATCAATAAACAAAATGTGGTTCAGTAGAGCACGGGACTCTCAATCTTGGGTTGTAAAATCAAGTCCCACATTGGGTGTAGAGAGTGCTTAAAAATAAAATCTTAAAAAAAAGCAATCCCTATCAAAATAACACCAGCATACTTCACAGAGCTAGAACAAACTCCTAAAATTTGCATGCAATCAGAAAAGACCCAAATAGCCGAAGCAATCTTGAAAAAGAAAACCAAAGCTGGAGGCATCACAATCCCAGACTTTAAGATGTATTTACAAAGCTGTAATCATCAAGACAGTATGGTACTGGCACAAAAACAGACACTCAGATCAATGGAACAGAATAGAAAACCCAAAAATGTACCCATAAATATATGACCAACTAATCTTTGACAAAGCAGGAGAGAATATCCAATGGAATAAAGACAGTCTCTTCAGCAAATGGTGGTGGGGAAACTGGACCACTTTCTTACACCACACACAAAAATAAACTCAAAATGGGTGAAAGATCTAAACGTAAAGTAGGAAGCCATCAAAATCCTTGAGGAGAAAGAAAACAGGCAAAAACCTCTTTGACCTCAGCCACAGCAGTTTGTTACTCAACATGTCTCTGGAGCCAAGGGAAACAAAAGCATAAATGAACTATTGGGACCTCATCAAAATAAAAAAAAGTCTGCACAGTGAAGGAAACAATCAGCCAAACTAAAAGGCAACCGATGGAATGGGAGAAGATATTTGCAAATGACAGATAAAGGGTTAGTATCTAAAATCTGTAAAGAACATATCAAATGCAACACCCAAAAAAACAAATAATCCAGTGAAGAAATGGGCAAAAGACATGAATAGACACTTCTCCAAAAAAGACATCCATTTGGCCAGACACATGAAAAAATGCTCAACATCACTTATCATCAGGGAAATACAAATCAAAACCACAATGAGATACCACCTCACACCTGTCTGAATGGCTAACATTTACAACTTAGGCAACAACAGATGTTGACAAGGTTGCAGAGAAAAAGGGTCTCTTTTGCATTGCTGGTGGGAATGCAAACTGGTGTGGCCATTCTGGAAAACAGTATGGAGGTTCCTCAAAAAATTGAAAATAGATCCCATGACCCAGCAATTGCACTGTTAGGTATTTACTCAAGGGATATAGGTATGCTATTTCAAAAGGACATATGCACCCCAATGTGTCGAGCAGCACTGTCGACAATAGCTGAAGTATGGAAAGAGCCTAAACATCCATCGACAGATGAATGGATAAAGAAGATGTGTATATACATACAATGGAGCATTACTCGACAATCAAAAAAGAATGAAATCTTGCCATTTGCAAGTACGTGGATGGAACTAGAGGGTATTATGCTAAGTGAAATTAGTCAGAGAAAGACAAATATATGATTTCATTCATATGAGGACTTTAAGATACAAAACAGATGAATATAAGGGAAGGGAAGCAAAAATAATATAAGGACAGGGAGGGGGACAAAACATAAGAAACTCTTAAATATAGAGAACAAACAGAGGGTTGCTGGAGAGGTCGTGGGAGGGGGGATGGGCTAAATGGGTAAGGGGCATTAAGGAATTTACTCCTGAAATCACTGTTGCACTATCTGCTAACTAACTTGGATGTAAATTAAAAACTAAATTATAAAAAAGAAAAGAAACAAAGGTACCATAAAACAACAACAACAAAACGAGAGAACTGCAGGGGACAATCTTTCTAGACAAGGCAGTTGAGGAGAAGGGAGCTACTGAAGAGCGGGTTGGCTTGGTGTATACACACACCTCAGAAACAGCTGCTTTTAGAAGACTGTTTCCCAGATGAGATGTTTGGTTTTCACAAGCCAAAGATGTACCGAAGTATAGAGGGCTGCTGTATTTACAGAGCTAGGTCTTCCAGTTCTTGACTCACTGACAGTGAACGCTACGAAGAGGACTTCCAGAGCTGTTTGGGGTTGCATGAGACTCATTCAGGAAACATCTGTAATTTTTGTGTCCTGCTTGTGAAAAAATGATTTAAAAAAGCAAAACTGAATCATGTGGTAGATGCAAGGGCAGGACCCAGTCTGAAGACAACATTGAAACCAAAGAAAGTGAAAACTCTATCTGGACACAGGATAGAAAGCAACCAGATCTGTAAACCTCAGAAAGAATTTCAACATCACGATTCTGATGCTCACATTACCACCTCAAGTGCCTCCCGTGCTCAATCTCTTTGTTATTGTAACCAGTCAGATAATGGCCCAGATACAGAGATGGCTCCAGCTCTAACAGAACGTTGGTTTTTTCCTTTTTAGATTTCACACACTGGAAAAGACAGAACATAAGTTGTGGGATTATCTATAAAGGCCGTTTTGGAGAAGTCCTCATTGACACACACCTATTCAAGCCTTGCTGCAGCAATAAGAAAGCAGCTGCTGAGAAGCCGGAGGAGCAGGGCCCAGAGCCTCTGCCCATCTCCACTCAGGAGTGGTGACTGAGGTTTAGGTAGAAGGGGAACAAAAAATGATTTTAATTTGGGAAGAAAACAAAGCAACAAAACCCTCCTATTTTCACTTGGACACCTGCTATTCTGCCAAAAGACACTTTCTAGAATAGTTTTGAATGGGTTGTTATTTCTCCTCCAGTTCCGCAAACTCTGAAGCCTGTGTCTAGCTGACTAAAAGAAAAAATGTGCACACATTTAAGATGCTGATAATTTCTTAGGAAAGCCGAATGCTGCCGTAATGAGGTCTTGCCAAGGTTCTGATGATGCAAACCTGTACTGCTGAATATTAAACAGGACAGACTAATTTCCCTGGTGCAAATACTTTGAAGGTATAATTTTTTTTTATTCCTTTTTTTAATGTTTATTTTTGAGAGAGAGCATGAGCGTGAGCAGGGAAGGTACATAGAGAGAGGGGGACAGAGGATCCAAAGCAAGAGGACAGAGGATTCTGCACTGACAGCTGCAAACCTGATGCAGGACTTGAACTCATGAACCATGAGATCATGACCTGAGCTAAAGTCAGATGCTCAACTGACTAAGCCACCCAGGTGCCCTGAAGGAGTAACTTCTAAACATACAGAGAGGTAAATTCAGTGTATATGTTGCATCCTATGTCACCTCCTACTGTATTGATTTTTAAAAACTTTTTTTAATGTTTATATTTGAGAGAGAGAGACAGAGTATGAGTGGGGGAGAGGCAGAGAGAGAGGAAGACGCAGAATCTGAAGCAGGCTCCAGGCTCTGAGCTGTCAGCACAGAGCCCAATGGAGAGCTTGAACTCAACAGTCATGAGATCATGACCTGAGCTGAAGTCGTACACTTAACTGACTGAGCCACCCAGGCGCCCCTCTCCATATTGATTTTTGATAAAGATTTTAATCTATATTGAAACTTCTTTTTTATATTTTATATAAAAATTAAATATATATTTTATATTTTTTATATAAAAATTTTATATTATTTTTTATATAAAAATTAAATATATATTTTATATTTTTTTAAATGTTTATTTTTGAGAGAGAGAGACTGAGCGTGAGTGGGAGAGGGGCAGAGAGAGAGGGAGACACAGAATTGGAAGCAGGCTCCAGGCTCTAAGCTGTCAGCACAGAGCCCAACGCGGGGCTCGAACTCATGAACCATGAGATCGTGACCTGAGCTGAAGTCAGACTGAGCCACCCAGGTGCCCCTATATTGAAACTTCTAAAGCAGAATCAAAGCTTCTCTGGGGAAATACAAGGTTTTAGGATGAGCAATCCTAAATGATTGTACCAAAGCATTATTGCATGGTAGAGACCACATTCTATTAAAAATGTTAAATTTCCAGGGTGCCTGGGTGGCTCAGTCAGTTAAGTGTCTGACTTGATTCTGACTCAGGTCATGATCTCACAGTTTGTGAGTTCGAGCCCCATATCAGACTCCACACTAACAGCACAGAGCCTGCTTAGGATTATTTCTCTCCCTCTCTCTCTCTGCCCCTCCCCCACTCATGTTTTTTCTCTCTCTCTCTCTCTCTGTCTCTCTCTCTCTCTCTCTCTCTCTCTCTCTCACACACACACACACACACACTAAATAAACTTTAAAAATGTTAAATTATCTGAAAAACTGTGCAGGTCTTCAGGATAGGTTATCCTTCACAAAGAAACAAAGGTTAATGCTTCTTGGGGCACATTTCTTAGAGGGCTTGCCTAGTGTGTAAATAATGGACTTTTGTTTGTGTTACATGACTAGTGACTTCACTGAAAATCTGCACAATTCAGTTTTAGCCCTGGATTACTTCAGTTGACCTTTGTGAAGGCTTTGCCTGTGTAGAGTGGTTGTTTGACTTGTTTTAACCTATTAAGGTTTGGGGTTTTTTTTTTTTTCACTCTATATTAAAATAAAATTCTACTAAAACAAAACAACAAAATATGGTATATCCATATAATGAAATATCATTCAGCCAGTAAAAAGGAATGAATTACTGGGGCACCTGAGTGGCTCAGTTGGTTAAGTGTCTGACTCTTGATTTTGGCTCAGGTAATGAACTGGAGATTCGTGGGATCAAGCCCTGCATCAGGCTCTGTGCTGACAGTTAAACAGACACTTAACCAACTGAGCCACCCAGGCACCCCTGAATTGTACACTTTAAATAATTAATTATATTTTATGAATTTCACCTCAGTTTTTAAAAAAAAGTAAAAGAAGGAAAGTATGATGGCAGTGCCTCATAAAATAGTATCAGTAAAGCAATAGCAATTATAATTTTAAAAAATCCTAATGGAAATTCTGAAATTGAAAAAGTACAGTAATTAAAATGGAAGAACTTAAAAATGTTATGCAAAGTAAAAGAAGCCAGTGACAAAAATCCGCATAATACATTATTCCATTTATGTAAATGTGCAGAATACACTAATCTAGAGAAACACAGTAGATTGGTGGGAGATGGAGGAGATTGGCCACTGACAGCTAATGGGTATAAGATTTATTTTTAAAAATGTTCTGGAATTAGACAGTGATGATAAATGCATAACTCTGTGGATGTACTAAAAAAACACCGGGGGTGCCTGGGTGGCTTAGTCCATTAGGATCAGACTTTATTTTTACTCAGGTCATGATCTCCCAGTTGGTGAGTGCGAGCTCCACATCAGGCTTGCTGCCATCAGCGCAGGGCTCACTTCAGATCCTCTGTCCCCTTCTCTCTCTCCATCCCATCCTTTCAGAATCAAGCATTTAAAAATGAATAATAAACTTAACAACCAAGAACATGTTGGGTGGATGGTGGGAGAGGCAATCTGCCATGAACCTGCCGGATGTGCCAAGAATGTAAGGCTTTGACTACTCTTTACCTAGGGCATTTCTCAAATATGTTTTTGCAGCAAATATTGTCTCCTTCCAAAAAAAAAGTAGACTTGCTTCAGTTTACCATAAAAGTTTTAAATCACCCAAGCTTGTTTTTCTCAAGCATTTATCTAGACGCTACCTATTTTACACAGTAGGACTTAGAAGACATGAGGAACCAGCATAAATGTGAAGCTCTGACTACTGCCCTTGTCATGTGCAATAAAGTTCTTTTTCTTTGACTCAGGAATCTCTTCTCTTCTGCTAGCATTCATGAAATGGTAGTAGGCTAACTTGTAAGCTTGAGTGGGAAAAACTCTCAGACTCTGCATAGTTCTTTTTTTTTTTTAAATGTTTTATTCATTTCTAGGAGAGAGAGAGAGAGAGAGAGACAGCGTGAGAAGGGGAGGGTCAGAGAGAGAGGGAGTCACAGACTGAAACAGGCTCCAGGCTCTGAGCTGGCCGTTGGCACAGAGCCCAACGCGGGGCTCAAACTCACGAACCACGAGATCATGACCTAAGTGAAAGTCAGACGCTCAACCGACTAAGCCACCCAGGCGCCCCAGACTCTGCATAGTTCTTGACAATTGCAAACTTCAATTCCAGGTAGTTTTTAAGTCAAAAAGTGAAAACCATGGGTGCCTGGCTGGCTAGGTCTGTAGAGCATGTGGCTCTTGATCTCAGGGTTGTAAGTTCAAGCCCCACATTGGGCACAGTGATTATGTAATTAAAAAAAAATTTTTTTAAGGGAAAGATAAAACAATACATTTAGTGAATTTTTTCTAGAAGAAAGTATAGCAGATTATCTTCATGAATTTAGAACAGTGAACGAGTTCATAAACAGAACGCAAAAGAAACTTGCCATAAAGAAAACATTAGACTACACTTCTTTTCAACATAAGACACAATTAAGAGAATGAAAGGCAATCCACAGAATAGGAGAATATATTTGAACATATGTAACCAACAGAAAGCTTATGTCTAGAAGAGAAGAGGGACTCCTACATATCAGTAAGTAAAATGTAGACCCAAAAGAAAACTGGGCAGGTTACTTGAACAGATACTCCACAAGACACTATCCAAATGAACAATAAAGAAATGAAAATATGCTCAAATTAATTCATAAAAGGGGTTGCAATTTTTTTTAAATATTTTTTTAATGTTTATTTCTGAGAGAGGGAGAGACAACTTGAGCAGGGGAGGTCCAGAGAGAGAAGGAGATACAGAATCTGAAACATGCTCCAGACTCTGAGCTGGCTGTCATCACAGAGCCTGACATGGGGCTCGAACCCACAAACTGCGAGATCATGACCTGAGCCGAAGTCGGAGGCTCAACTGACTGAGCCATCCAGACACCCAAAAGGGGTTGCAAATTAAAGTCACTTTGCATTGCTACCATGTATTCATAAATTGGCTAAAATTAAAAAGGCTGACAATGCCACGTGCTGACAAGGATATGGATTCCAGGAACTTTCACTAAATGAAGATAGGAAGCAGTACAATCACTTCAGAAGACTGGCATGAAGCTAAACATATGCATACCCTATGACCCAGCAATTCTACTCCTAGACATATACTTTATTAAAATACAGGCACACATGTGCCAAAAGACCTGTCCAAGAATATTCATATGAATATTATTTATAATAGTAAATTATAAACCATCCAAATGTATACCGACAGTAGAAAAGATAAATTGTTCAAACAATGGACTATTATGTAGTATTGAAAATGGACTTGAACAGACCCAATTAAAATGAACTATAGCTACTTGCAACAATGCAGATGATTCTTGTAAACATGTTAGCAAAAGAAGCCAAAGAAATATGGTAGAACAGCATTAAAACCAGACTGATTACAATCTAATGTGAAAAACATTAATGTGAGTAGAGACATTACTTAAAGAGGAAAGGAATATTCCACAAGAAGATATGATGATCATGAATTTGCAACTAACACAAAGTCTTATAAAAGGAATATTGTCACATACAAAAACAATTGACAAATTCAGCCATGGTAGGAAACTTAATCTACTGCATTAAAAAAAATTTTTTCTTAATGTTTCATTTTATTTTTGAGAGAGAGACAAAGTGCTAACAGGGGAGGGGCAGACAGACGGAGACACAGAATCTGAAGCAGGCTCCTGGCTCTGAGCTGTCAGCACAGAGGGGGCTCGGACCCTTGAACCATGTGATCATGACCTGAGCTGCAGTCAGACCTTCAACCAACTGAGCCACCCAGTAGCCCCTACATTTTATAATTATAGAAAACAATACTCTATATTTACACATACATACTTAAGTAGTAAAAATAAAATAAAATCATAGAAACTGTTTTAAAAACTTCATGGTAATAGTTGCAGTGGTTGCCTCTGCAAAGGGCAATAAAGAGAGAAAATCTATGTAGGTGTACAAAGGAGGCTTTAATTTTATCTGAAATGTATTATGTGTGATATGTATGATATTATGTATGATATTAATGTATTATGTATTATGTATGATAAATATTTATCATACATCATTATTTATGATAAAGATATCGGGGCGCCTGGGTGACTCAGTCGGTTAAGCATCAGACTTCAGCTCAGGTCATGCTCTCACTGCTCGAGAGTTCGAGCCCCCATTCAGGCTCTGTGCTGACAGCTGGGAGCTCAGAGCCTGGAGTCTGCTTCGGATTCTGTCTCCATCTCTCTGCCCCTTTGCCACTCATGCTCTGTCCCCTTCTCCTCCAAATATAAATAAGCATTTAAAAAATTTTAAAAAGAGAAAGATATCTGACACAACATGATAAATAATAAATTTTAAAATTCTAGATTTATGATGCATAGATTTTATATCCTATTTTATTTTTATGTATTTAAAATTACTTTCATTATAAAACAGTAATGTACAGAAAGCAAAATCTGGTAGAAATGAAAGTAACTTCATAGGGGATTAATGACTGAGTTCTACTCCTGAAATCATTATTGCACTATATGCTAACTAACTTGAGTATAAATAAATAAATTTATAACAAAATATCCCCCCCAAAGAAACAAAAGTAACTTGATTTCAAAATACAAGTATTGTATTGTAAACTAAGTATTCTACAAGTTTACTAGAAAAAATGAGAACATAGAGTTAATTCTATCCATAAACAATCATATATGCCTACATAATATGTGTGCATACATATATACATACATGGAGAGATATATTTAGACAAACATGTATAATGGAGAGAACATTATATCTCTTAGAGAATATACATTCCCTAAATATTTATAGAGAAAATACAAATTAAGTCATATATTTGGCCACAAAAACAACTCTTACAAATTTAAGTCAAAAAATAGCAAAATAGGCAAAGGATATGAATAGACAATTTAGAGAAATAGACTATCCAGGTAGCCAGCAAGTTCATGAAAAGAGGTCAAATGTACTAGTAATTAGAGAAATACAAATTAAAGTAATAATGAGATACCACTTTTCACATATGACACTTTCCAACATTCAAGAGTAGGTAGATTTTTAAAACTGTGGTGAGTGAAAAACTCTATGACAAATACCATATATATAGATATATTAGAAATACATATAACAAGCATGTTAAAAGGACGCAAACAACAAAAGGGTACATACTGGACATTAGAATGGATTCCTGGATGGTGAAGGATGGGATTGGGAAATGGAGATGATGGAAATAAATGAAAAATTAAGTAAAACAAACCTGTTGCCTGAGGGATGTAGAGGAAATGGGGTAGATGTTATAGACTTTCTAGAAAACAGTCTGACAGCATATGTTAACATGTCCTAGAAGCAGTGGAATACTCATATATAGAATTACCAAATAAATCATCCACCCTGTGAACTGTTATATAGCCATGAAAGGAGAATTAGAAGTATACTTGATGCTTTGAAGAATTTTGTAAGATATAATTGAAATAAAGTTTATATAGAA